AATGGAGTTGAATGATATGCTGAACACATTTATTAGTAGATGTACGATGTAAAGAACAAAATTGCCGAAGAAACAGTTGCTAATAATTTTGTATCTATGTAAGATGGCGTCACCATGGAATGGAAATGATTTTCGTGATCAGTTTTTACCTCAGAGATTACGTACGCAAATCTACTTTCTAATAGATTTTCCACGCAAATCTACTTTCTAATAGATTTTCCACGCAAATCTGTGTGACCCCTGCGGCGTATACTTATCGTGAGCCTTCAAGAACATCTTATCTTGTAGATTGGATGTGTAATCCTTCTAAACTTTTTCAATTTCATTCAATACAACTTTTATAAAACTGTAATCAGCGAACAAATCCATTACACTTCCTTGTAGAGAGAGTAGGAGGTGATAGGGAGACTTTCGAATGACATAAAATGTGTTACCAGAAATGCTGTTTTTTTTTGAGTTTGAGAAAAAAAAGTACGGACCCAACGGCCCAAATGTTGGGCTTCGTGGAGTACTCGTTCTTTTCTACTCTATTGTCTCTAGCTTAAGATTTTTTTCTGAGAGAACAGTTTGTTAGCACTTAGACATTTTTTTCTCTTTGTAATCGAATATTTTGAAAAATTCTTGATTTCAAATGCATCAAATCACCTTCCTTCCTGCTTTCCTTCTTCTTCTTCATCATTTGGTCACGAGCTATTATAAATTTTAGGAGACTGAAGATGCCGTGAAATCTATCTTCGATGGTGATGATGAAGAAGAAGAGCCCCAATACCCAACTTTAGTCTTTGTTCCTGGCAAGAATGGTGCTGTAGTAGCATCTGCTGGCTTATCTACAGCAGCTGAAGTGGCAATGGTCTCATCAAGCATCGCAGTTTCAAACGATGAGACCAATCGCGCCGCAGATGCCATTGCGCACGTGGACGACGAAGACGAGGACGATGCGGAGGTAGCACCTGGAGATGTTTCAGATGTAAGCGATATGTCTGTTGATTTCTAAATATGATTCTCTTGTTTGAAGTTAACTCTTATTGTTCAGGAGCAACTACTACGGGAGTCATTTGTGGAAGAGCCTATTTTGGAAGAGAAACCCGCTGCAGATAAATCTGTAGAGCCACCTGCACCTGTTGCAGAAGAGGAAAGAGCACTGCCTGTAGATAAGCCCGCATCGAATGTGATTGTGATTGAAGATGATGACGATGTGGTGGAAGTTCCTTGCACAAAACCTGTGCAAGAAGTGGAACCTCCGCGCAGTGTGCATCCGTATCAACAGCCTGTTACGTCTCAGACATCTGTGCCGATCAGTGTTTCGATCCCAGATCGGAAGGGAGCCACTCCACTGCAGTCACCGAGCAGGCCAGCACCAACAGAACAAGCAACATTTGTTCAGCCCGCAATAGTGCAGCCGCTGAAGGCATCTCCTGTGCCTTCTTCCGGATATGTATCAGTATTGCCGAGTGCTTCACCTGTCTCGGGAGGTATAACGCAGGGTACGCCCGTGGTAACGCAAGCCAGTCTGCAGCAGCTGTACACTCGTTTTCAACAACCCGCCTTCACTCATGTCAATGTCCTGCAGC